TAAGGCTCCAGGGCCAGCTTCTATGCCCTCTTTTAAACCAAGCACCCGAATGTTCTTTCTCCTGCCTCTGTTTTCAATATCATCAATTCGTTGTGCCATAGTGAGGGCCTCTTTCTCCAACTTTTTTATGCGGGCCGTAGCCTGGTCCAGGGCGTCCTCCTGGGCTGCAATCCTGTCCTCCGCGTCTGTAGTGCGTCGGGCCAGCTCCTTTATCTCCGTGGCCTGGCTCTTAAGCATTTCAGTCAGAGTGTCTACTTTCTGGGAAATAACTAATGAAATGTTCCCAGTGATTTCCTCAATAACTTGGCGGAGAGCAGGATCGAGTGTGGTGGCCCCACCAGCCACTGGCAGCCTAGCAGCTAGCTCCGTGTTAGCCATGTTACCTGTGTCAGCCAGTTGAGACTCTACCTCGCAGGTTTTGTTAGTTTTCTTTAGAATTTTGGGCGGCATTGTGCTGGAGTGAGTCGGAAGAGCGTTTATCAGCGTTGTATTACCACATTTAGTTGGATAGTCGTAGTGAGAGGGTGGTATTCTGCTCAGATATAAAATATATGGTGCGCAGCTCAACGAAGTCGACCGCTTGCTACGCCGCCATCTTCCGGAACCCGTTCTTATAGATTTAATGCAAACATCGAAAACACAAAAATACTGAGAACCAAAGCAAAGCCTCTCGGTTTTACATTGTATCGCAGAATGTTTGTGCTGCACTTTCTTTTTACAATCAAAACTTTGTTGGTTAAAAACTATAAGCAATCAAGTTGCTTTTTATGTGCCTCAACTTTGTAAAGTTTTTTCAAAACTTCTGTGGAGAACTGACTAGTGTCAGTCATGATAACAGTAGTGTCATCCTTCAACAGCACAACTCCTGGGAGATTTCAGAGCAAGACATCAATTACATGTGAGACACTTGCTTGTCTCCTTGGGTACCACAGATTATTGTCAGGATGGGAGGGCTGAGGTGCAGGCGCATTACAGACTGTGAGAGATAAACACTGGAAGCAATTCAATGTTAACTTACAGAGGACAGACACAACAAACATCCTGATGAAAATAACATAAACAAATAACAAATAACATAAACAAAACAATAAAAATAAACCAAGAACTATAAATACATCCAAATAAATGCATAAAAAAATCTAAAGCCTACACTTATTAATTATTATTTTTATTATGATTTTAGTTCTAATTTTGCTTAATAAAAAAGAAAATGAAGACAGTTGTTGGGATATATTGCCACAATGGAGCCAAATCAATTTGATGAACCACATCAAACCCTCCCCCTCCCTTTTCACTGGTTCTGCAAAGTTCTGGAAACTTCCAGCCAAGGGACAGTCAACTCACGTATGGACCAATCAGCTGACAAGAAGGCTGGAATCTCAGCAGGAAATACCCCTACATCATTAAGTGTTTAAATCCAAGCGAGGAAAGGAAATTGGTCTCTTCCCTGGGTTTTGCCAAAGATAGCTAGCTGAAAGTGGCCTTCATTTTCCTGCGTCAAAAGTCACGGATCGCAGTGACCCATCGTGCATACTGCCTACTGAACTGGGAGAGACGGGGATCTCCGAAGCTAAACACTTTGTGGATTTTCCCCCCTTTGTGAGGACCTCCATAGTAATCACGGCCTATCTGCAGGGGAACGCCCTTGCTTTCGGTAGCTGTAAGTAACCTTCCACAATTTTAAAAAGCCCATGAAGTTCCCCTGCTGTAGCATCAGACTGATGAAAAATATCTTCTGAGAACAGACCCCGGTGTGAGACGAACCCCGCAGAGTCCACGCCCCTCCCCCGGGACTTGCCAATTCCGGTGTTCTGTGGCTAATACCACCCTCAGGCCACCCTCGTGAAGTCTGTTTCAGATTTTTTGGTCAGAGACATTCACACCTGCTGGAGGTCATTTTGTAGGGCTCTGGCAGTGCTCCTCCTGCTCCTCCTTGCACAAAGGGGCAGATACTGGTCCCGCTGATGGGTTGTAGACCTTCTACAGCCCTGTCCAGCTCTCCTGGAGTAACTGCCTGTCACCTGGAATCTCCTCCATGCTCTTGAGATTGTACTGGGAGACGCAGCAAACCTTCTGGCAATGGCATGTATTGATGTGTCATCCTGGAGGAGTTGGACTGCCTGTGCAACCTCTGTAGGGTCCAGGTAGCATCTCATGCTAACAATAGTGACAGTAACCCTAGCCAAATGCAAAACAGGTGAAAAAGAGTCAGAAAAGATGAGGAGGGGAAAAAATGTCAGTGGCCTCCACCTGTGAAACCATTCCTGTTTTGATGGTCGTCTCATTGTTGCCCCTCTAGTGCACCTGTTGTTAATTTCATTAATACCAAAGCAGCAAAACTGATTAACAACCCCCTCTGCTACTTACCTGACCTAATCAATATACCAGAACTTTAATTAACTTGATGCTATACTCTGATTACAAAGTGTTCCTTTAATTTTATTTTTTGAGTAGTGTATTAAAGGAATAGTACACCCAAAACATGATTAGCCTTCATTTTCTACTCACCCCCATGCTGAACAACACTCTGGAGTACTTTTTTGATATCTCAAATGCATCTGGAGATCTGGGAGGCTTCTTGCTGTCTGCTGACATTCAAATAATGGGGGTCTATGGCGCCCGAGGCAGAAAGGTCCATAAAAGTCCACAAAAAACGTGTCAATATTCCTCCATACTGCTCGTCCAATGTATTCCAAGTGTCCTGAGTGGGTAGCATCCAGAATTTACTCGAAACGAAGTCATTTAGAATGTTTTTAGAGCATAAACAGTAGTGTATAGGATTTCCTGAAAGCGCGCACGTGCGCGTTCACGACGCTTCGGAAGCCGGCAGACCAAACCAGCGCATTCAGCTCGGCAAAGAACTCATGCTCTTCCTCAACACTGAAGTCCTCAGACATTTTTCTTTCGTTGTTTCTTTCTTTGCACAGGTAAACAGCACATTTCTTCTTCTACGCTTGCATTATTGGCAGAGCAGACGCTGAATGCGCACTTTCATCTGGTTTGGTCTGCCGGCTTCCGTAGCATCGTGAACGCGCAGGTGCGCGCTTTCAGGAAATCCTATACACTACTGTTTATGCTCTAAAACATTCTAAATGACTTCGTTTCGAGTAAATTCTGGATGCTACCCACTCAGGACACTTGGAATACATTGGACAAGCAGTATGGAGGAATATTGACACGTTTTTTGTGGACTTTTATGGACCTTTCTGCCTCGGGCGCCATAGACCTCCATTATTTGAATGTCAGCAGACAGCAAGAAGCCTCCCAGATCTCCAGATGCATTTGAGATATCAAAAAAGTACTCCAGAGTGTTGTTCAGCATGGGGGTGGGTAGAAAATGAAGGCTAATCATGTTTTGGGTGTACTATTCCTTTAACATCTGGCCTATCTTGGACAATCTCAGAACCCAGTTAAATGGACTCTTAGGGTTTTATTCTTTTTCTTTTAAAACTAATCACTTGGTCTACCTCATGTTTATTTTCTAATAGCGTGTACTGTTTTGCATAGATGTTAGATTTCTTTAAACCTGAATTATTAGAATAAAGACATCAGTCTTTAACTTGCAGTTGTTTGTAATTAATATACGAATGGTTTATCACTCAGGCCAGATCCACCCTCTTTTGGTAATAGTATGGATAAACAGAGGTAAACAGTTCTTTGATTGATAATGAATAGCTCTGCTGATAACCTAGCCCTGGCCACTAAATTGGTGGGAACACTTGGATTTTAACAGCCGATCCAGGAACCATCCAGAGGTGAAAGGTACAAACCCTGGTAAGTAAGCAAATTAGAGCTACAATTATTCAATTAAGAACACTAAATTGATTTCACCTCCAATTTTGAATAAGATAAATAATTAACTACAACTCCAGTTTTAGTGGATCATTTATTCATTATCTAGAGGATTTCATTTTGCACAACACAGTGTTTATTCAAACCCAGTGAATATATCCTCTCATATCAGCAAACAGCTCTAATCTTTCAATTCCTATTTCTTTCTGAAGAATACTGGAGCTTATTATACTTTTTTTTTTAAACTTTAACCATAAAAAAAAGTGTTTCTCATTTGTTTGAAGGTAGCTGATTTTCCAACTGGCATTAAAACTTATTGGAAACTTTAATAGAAATGCAAATTAAAACTATTGTTTTAATATCTACATCTATAATTATTTGTTCTTTCTTTGTTGAATGCAATAGTGATTCCATACTGTGATACTCATTTTAACAAAACAAAGCAAGTGTTATTAAAAATAAACAAGAACCTTGGAATAAATAAACAGAATCAAAATATCTTTAGCTAAAAATATTGCTATAAGAGGGATTTCTTGCAGATACAGGTTACTGTATAAAAAAATCTGATTCTTAGTAGCTTTTTACAGCAAAACCAACAGAAAAAAACTCATATTGTGTGATGTTAATCTTCAGTGGGTTTCAAAGTATGTACAGGTTGAGTAAGTGTATATAAACAGGCTGTTATCTCACAGGAGCTTATAGAAAGTTTGTGAAGAATTCAGACTATCTTCTCAATGACAGACCGATGCACACCGCCTCCACATGCTGATAAAGCCACAGCTGCAGAGACTGTCACACCTGATTTTCAAACTCGGCTTGGGCTTCAAGATATAACATTTAAGACTGGGTTTAGCATGCAGTTCTGAGCTGCTAGGTGATAAAAGTGATTTATATATATATTTTTTTTTTACCATTATTGCTGTTGTCGTCCACCAGGATAATCTCTTTCAGAAGGTGGGAGGGTGTCCTGTTGATGGCAGAGTGGATGGATCGCAGGATGACTGACAATGCCTCATTGACGAATATGAACACAATGCTCACTTGGGGGAGGTTCAGAGCATAAGTGATATTTCTGCACCTGTGGAGTACAAAGAAGAGGTCAGGAAAGCTTCAAATACTCAACAGAATACAAATTTCTGTTTTGAAATACGTTTATATTTTTAGGTTTCATATCAGTCCAGCTTTTTACACTACAATAATAACGCTGATGCAGCTTTTAATTGTAGATTAGTCTGTAAAGTCTAGAAATAATTAAATATTAATGATAATCAGGAGCAACGACAGCTCTGCTCATATCTTCTTTTTTAACAACAGTTGTCTGCCAATTTAATCCTGGTGTTATTCTTGCTATCTGACGGATTCCATCTGTCCATCAATAACCAAGAGAGTATCTGTCCTTTTAATTGTTAAGAGTGAGTGGTGATATAATTGGGATATCCAATTTATTCATATCCAGCCTGCTACAGTAAATGTCACACAGTGGTTGATGATCTCCATTCTCTGCTCCCTGCTGAATTTACAAAAAGTGAAATAAAGACAAACTATGTGTGATTAACATTTTGCATTGCAACAGTTTTGAATGTGCACAGAGCTAGTATTACTGGGGATAAATGGTCAGGGGGAAGTATGGTGCAATGAAGAAAAGACCCTGAAGGTCCTTCAACTACGTAGACTTATATGAGGATGCAATCTAACCTGCAGCTGTATCAGTTGTGGTTTAAACTGGGTCACAGCCACCATGTGATATTGAAAAGTTCTAATTTTGTGTGAGCCTGGTACTCTAAGCCTAGGATTTAATCAAAAGTCAAATTTCAACTCTAAAAGCATTCTTTAGGGATAAGGGATTTCAGATAAGCCATTTCATAAAAATCTTGAATTCCACTATGAGAGCAAGGATCTACACAAAAAACAGAGACTTTAATCCTGTCATGGAGCTCAAAGCTTTTTTTGTTTTATAGTTTTTTTCACATTATAAAAAAGTCATTTTCTATCATACCTTTTTTTTTTTACCTATAACAATGGCTTAATATGCAAAGGAGATAAAGATCAGTTAGATCAAATGAACAAAGGTATCATAATGTCACAGCTAAAGAATAGGAGTACAAATATTCATCAAAGTAGGATTGTTGATATTAACAACAAATAAATGCATCTACTGTATTACTGCCACAGGTAAATCGCACAAGATGTTGCTTTTAGACTTTACACTATTTTCCAAATTAATATTTTCCGAACATTTCCTATAAATAAATTAAAACAAAATTAAAAAAAGATGTATTTTTTTTTATTTATTGATTATTTATAAAAATGATAATGAAAATTTGTGGTATGCCAGTCCTCATAAATGTGTCAGGAAAACTAGTAGTTACATTTTATACATCTAACAGATGCTTTAAAATCAGAATGGAAGATAAAAAAATACAAAATAAAAAAAAAAAAAAATAAAAAAATAATTTTTTTGTAACATAACACAGTAAAGTATAAGATTTCTTCTGAGAAACCACAAAATAATCTTCTTGTAACTAGATCAGAGGGAAACCCATGGCTTATTTCTATGACTGCCTTGTTTGGCTCAGCACAGACTTTTGTTATTGCAAGTTGTTTAATAAGCGGCGTGCTTGAAGTGGTATGCCAACTGTTACTTCTCTTTTTTTCTGCATTTTTACTTGTTATCTTGATCAGTGCCCCTCTGGGGTTTTTGGGAGTACTGCAACTACATCTACGTCAAGTATAAACGTGTACATTGCTTCTATGGGCTCGCTTAAGGTGCACACAGACTGCGCGACAACCAAACACGGAAGTATATCTCGGGCTTTATGTTCTAAGGTGGAGCATATGATGATGATGAAAGCGAGAGTTGCAGAGCACACAGTTGAACCACAAACAAAAGCACTGCAGGAGGATATATACATAGCTGCTGCTATAACAATGGATCTCTCAGAATCTACTTTTCTATATTTAATAAAGAAACAACAAAAGCGTGAACACGTAAGTTATTGTAGTTTCTCATAATATCTGCTGCTATTTCATTTGTTACCATGAAAAAAAACACTTTTGTACAGTAGGCTGGCACAAGTTGTCGCTGTGTCCAGTCAGCTCAAAAGATTCTGCTTCATGTCTCTTCTTTCCTTGAACAGATTTGATGAGTGCAATTCCAGATTACTAATGCATACAAATAACTTTGAGTGCTACAAATTTAACAGTATGGCTTGCCAGGTTAAGATTACCACTGACTAAAATGTGGATGCTGTTGTATCTGGATAAAGCCAGTGCTATTTTTGTTTTGTTTTTTATCTCCCCCGAGTGCCTTATATGTCTCTCTGGATGTTGCTGCACTTTTGTGGTTGACATGCCTCTTTGACATTAAGTGGCAGTTGGGGACAGCACCGATAGACTGGCAGACCGGGGTGGTTGTTCCCCTTCATAAGAATCTCAGCTGTAATAGAAATAATGTGGCCCAATAAACCCTGCCTATGCCGTCTGATGGATTGCATGAGTTTATTGGAGTTTGCCCCACCACTCCAAGTGTGCTTTGCAGACCTTAAAAGACCTTAACCGTGTCCCAAACAGTTCTCTGGGAGCAGGGTTGCTAACCAGGTGTAAAAAGTCGTTGGCCCTTTACTTGGGGCAATGCGGTCTCTATACAAGTGGAGTAGGAGTCTTGTCCAAATTAACTCTGACCTGTTTTCAGTGTATGTTGGACTCAGGTGGGGCTGCAGTCCTGTTGATAACTTTTGTGATCAGGATTTATAGACATCTACAAAACTTTTAAAGTTGCCATTGAAAGTTCTTTACTGGAGCACTGTTGTGATTCTCCTGTCTTCTTTGACTTGTCGCTGGTGCCTAATAAAGCAATCATTACCTCAGAGCTTGAAAGCAATGAATTCATATCCTCATTATTAGCTTTCTTCATATTTACTTTCATAGTGACATAAAATATAAAAAGAAAAGACTGATATAATTTTCTTCCATATTTTATTAAACAAATTTTGAATAACAAAAAACCCTGGTAGTTTTTTTTCTTTTTTTGTCGGTTTTAAATATAAAAACATATAAACAAATGAATAACAGATGTGTATGTGTCCACTGTTGCCAATATTGCGATAATTATGGCTTTTGCCATAAGGTTCCGCTTGGTAGTTATATAAGAAACTTTGTCAAAAATTATTTAGTGAGTAAAATTGTATAGAGTGGAGAGGAAGATGGAAAGCGAGGTGAGAGAAGAAGAGGGGATAAGAACTTAGGGGAGAGGGTAAGAGATAGAGACAGCAAAGAATGCATGAAAAGAGAGAAAATGAATCAAAACAGCAAAAATAGACAACACAGAAGATATAGGAGTCTGGTTCCACACCTGTAAGAGACAAGAGAGCATAACAACAGCAAAAAGAAGACAACAGAGCAAAGTTAACATCAACCAAAGCTTCCAGACAGCAGATATCACTTAGATATCCAAGAGTGTGGAAGGCAAAACCTGTAGTGATTACACAATATTATTCAGGTAGGTATATATATAGTATATATAATATATATATATATATATATATATATATATATATATATATATATATATATATATATATATATATATATATATATACATATATATATATATCTGTAGCTGCAGCTCTGTAACCACACACATATTGATGCGGGGCATGTGCGGCTTTTCAGCTTTGCGTTTCTTGAACCCAAGGCTACGAAGGATACAGTGACACTGTCCTTCCAACCGGCAAAAAAGGCTGCATTTGTCTGCTGCATAGGTAAGAGTCTTTGAATCCAAACAGGACACAATGCCATGCTATGACATAACCGGCTGCCCAATCTGGCCTTTGGAGGATGCACCAGCCGAATTACAGGTCAAGCACCCCCTGGTGGCTAACAGTTGCACACTGTTGCTTTAAATGGTATTGTCGTCAAAAAAAATTTTTTTTAATCTTTTAATTGTCACGATGCTATTCTTTATTCAGAACATGCCAAAAGTGGCATTTCACTTGATTCATGCATCTCTGGGTAATCCTCATGAGATCTGCTGTCTTAGGAGCAGTTCCACCCCGACCTGTGAAAATTAATGGAAAAAGAAAATCTAAGTAATCAGGCTCCCTCCAGGAAGCACCTACCTTAACCATGCTGTTCCAGCACCGTAAACAAATACCCACTTTCTCCAAGTCAGGTTTGGGTAATGGGAGGCAGAGCGCAATGGTTCTGGCCCTCTTTAACAGCTTATTTAAACAAGGCAGCAACCTCAATTTTTAGCAAATAAGTCATTAATAAAAAGTTATTAATTTAAAATGTTTTTTTGACCCTTAACAAGTCTTGTATTTTGTTAAGTGATAAGAAATGTGTTGATGCAGTGATGTTATAAAACGGGAGACAAGGATGGCAGCTTTACTTTTAACTTTTTTAATTGTTTATAGGAGATTTCAAAAGGCTTAAAACACATAATACATTAAAATCTTTAAGCTAAAACCCGAGAATATAACATTACAGCAATCTATAATAAACCCAAACTATTTGTTCCTTGTGATCTTCATAAAGGTATTTAACAGATCACCATTTTTTATGACGGTCTGTATAAAGAGTGTAGCTTTCTGCAGTCTTACCCATCAGGCCTGAGGTCAGGAATTGGCCTGCTTAAGGACAGATGATCACTGAGGTAGGCGTTATACCCATAGTACTGAAACATCTTCAGAGCCACCCTCCGGTTGTCTGGGCTCAGCTCCTGGCCCCAGTGAGCAAACAGGGATGAGTCAGAGAATGAGGAGTCCGGTTGACTGTCTTCTGCTCTGCCGGGTGTCTCTGGTAGGCATAAAAGGCATAAAAGACAAATGGTATGAATATTTGTTTGGGTCACAAGGTAAGGTTATTTGGACAAAACACCCTTTAAGCTGAATAATACCTCTTATAAAAACCTATTTTATCCCTTGAGCTTGATCGGGTGAAAGGTGGCATATTACTTAAAGCCAAAGGCTGGTTGTCCTTCAGCAGAAATACAGTCAACACTTAAGGGTTTGTGAGGATGGTAAGAATCATTATGACCTTGAGCAAATTATTTTGATATACTGTCAGTTCATAACGGATATTCAGAAGGCTTATTTGTTTACTACTTAGATTAATGAAGCTCAGTTCTCAAAATAAAACGCTATAATCAAGAACATATGTATGTTTACATTTATCCCTTTTTTGTTTCTTCACACCAGATTTCTTGTTGGAAAATAATCTAACAATAGAATAAACCTAAACAGTGACTTTACTGGAAAGAAATTCAATAGTTTCCTGATCCAAAACACAGAGGATATCGTGACTTAAAAAACACTAATTTGAAAGATCCGTAGTGCTTCTAAGATGCTGATCTAAGCCTTGAGATGAATGTCTGCTCTTTTATGGAGCTTTACTCACAGCCAAAGGCTTAATTGAAAAAGACCAGGCAAAATAAACTGAACATCATACTGAGAGTAAAACTGCAATTGCCTATTTTCAAGAAAACCTCCATATGAAGTATCCTGAATTTCCTGTAGTTTTACAATTTATCACTGTAATTTTGATGATTCAGTCTGCTGTTATTTCAGAAAGTTGATTAATGAGTAAGGTATAGGAATTAAACAATGCCTGTACATATCATTCATAGCCTTTACGATTTTAAAGTCTGCCAAAAACTAAATGTACACTTATTATCTTTTAAACCTTTATTACCACCAATATGGCATACCTGAGAATATTTACAATAATTCTTAAACAATACTTTCCTGATTTACCTCTAAGTCAGGAAAAACAAAGAGCATTTTAATTAAAAGTCCAAATCAGCTGGAAATTAAATCTAAATAAAATTAGCTCCTGCATCATGTCTTATCCATTTCATTAAAGGACAGGGAGCATATTCAAGCAAAAATAACAATAAATGAAGGCACATTTCATTATAGATGCTCAGCATTTTGTATTGCGGCTGACAGATTCAGGTCATCAAGAATTGCTCAGGTTTCACAGCTGCCTTTTCCTTTTCAGTGAAATGCAACACAGAATAATAAAAAAAGGTTTCTGTACTCTGGTAAAGATGAATTAAAGGCTTAGTGAAGTAGATGATGATCAAAAGTAATTTAAAGAGCTGGGGTACGTTTCAAAGAAACAGGTTTTCTGAAAACTAGAAGTTTTCTAAAATTGAAAAAAGAGAAAATCTCAGTTTTTCATTTCACAAAGAGAGTTTTCTCAACCTTTGTTTCAGTCACCATAGTAACATTGTCCCCAGAGCTAACCTGGGTGGGAGCAGATTGTCTTCAGTAAACTCAGTGTCCTTATGCCTTTTCATAGTTTTTGTGGTTAAAAAAAATAATTCACAAGATCTGTGAGGTATTAAAAACAAACACTGCATGTCCGTTTGACGATCTTATTAAAGAATGATCGGCTTTTTCTTCACAGAGAATTACACATTTATAGGGAGAAGATTCTACAACTCAGTTCACAGAATATTAAATGTATTTGTTTTTGGTTTGTTTAATATGAGCGACATGCAGATCATTTTATTTGTTTTTATTTATTGTTTTTCAAAGTACCTGGAAAAACTACTAAAATCATTTTCAGATTACACATAGATTATTTAATTTTGTGGGGGGAAAGTGCCTATTCCACCAGTGGGGTGAAATAGGCACTTCCTGTTGTCTGTTTTCATGGTGACTCGTCAAATCAGATAATGGCTAATATGAGTGTCTTTCATGGGCCCAAAAAATTCCTGGCGGTGCACCCTTTCCCATCTGATTCTAGCCTTGCTAGGCCCAGGTTCCCAAATAATACTTTTCCCATTGTAAAAAAAACAAAACAAAAAAACAAAACTGTCAATCACAGAAATGGTATATAAATAGAGAATGTATAAATACACATATACATAACAGGCATATGTGTGGTGCATAAGCATTAAGGCTGATCCAACATATTACAGTTTGATGCGCAGAATAGGAAAGCCAGTAACTTCAAGTGCAAAGGGAACACCAAATAAAGGCCAACATGTTCAGATTTTTGAGAGCACAAATGGTTTGAAAGAGTAGTGAAGAAAGCCATGTTTGATAAAAGACCATCACTGAACACTTTGTCGGGAATGCATATTCAGCTTGATGCCGCTCAAATACACCATGCAGCATTCCAACTACAGAGTGCTCTGGTGCGAGCCAACAAAATTGACAAAAAACTGAGCGAACGTCTGGTTGCCTTCCAATTTAAGCCTGTTTGGTTGTATCTAACAAAATTGTTTGACAGATTGAAAAACCTCCATGTTTGCCTAACTTAACAGGGGTTCACATTATTTCTGCTAAATGTCAGATCTGTTGAAAGTGAGCTTTGTACTCTAATAGGCCATAAAAAATTAATCTGGTAAGTTTATGTAAAGCTTTCACCTTTTAGATGCATCATTCTGGTTGTATGTACATAATCCTGTTTGTTAGTTCTCCATATTAAGCTAACATGCATGGAATTCTGTCAAAGCTGTGACTGATATCACTCTGTGTCCCTTGCTGCTAGAGCCATGTTTGAATAATTACCATTGCAAGGTGCAGCAGCGTTTTTTTTTAGAAACATGTTTTTTTTTCATGAAACAAAACATCTGCATTGTCAAAAGAGCACAGTAACACCTTTAGTATCAAAAATCGAGAAGTAAATCACATCCAAGTTGAGAGAAGACAGTGAACATATATGCCTGAGGCAGAATAACTTCTCACATCCAACATAGCTGTTGAAGTTTCACAACTGTGAAACAGATGGAAAGACTCTCAGCTCTTGATAAGACACGATGAAGGTTCGCAGGTCTTTCAATCTGGGTAAGTCAGCCTGAAGCCCCATTTGCTTGACTGTTCGTGTGGTGATTAATTAGGTCTACAGAGACATTTCCCTCAGCAGTGAATCCCTTAAGCAGCAGTGAGGGCAGGTTGGTGTTGTTTCAACATGGTACGTTGGCCAAATTGATCTTTTCAGATTATGTACATAAAGACAGTATTAGCCAGAAATAATAGCACATCCACTGTTGAATTTCTATTAAAATACATCACTGTGAAGCACACTGTGCAGAAAATTACACATTTCTCTATTAAGTACTTTCACCTTGAGTTTAGGAAGTTGCGTTCTCTGGAAAATCCCTTCATCTCTAGAGAATATATCCAGAGTAACACTGTAACTATAGATAAATACCAGACAGGAAAGGTATCTTCTAGATGTATTTATGTGTGTGCCTGTCTCTTAAAAAGTAGACAGGGAAAGGGTTATCTGAGCTTCCCAGCAGCACTTTTAGCATAGTGGTAATACAATAGGTGTGCTTTTGTTGTGTTTGCAGCCGAGAAACTATAACTGTCTGCTTTCACAGCCCCAGAGAGGGAAATAAAATAGAAATATACAAGAGAAAGCCTCTGATTATCATCAACCTAACTGAAAGAAAACAACAGAAATCAGCTTGCATTTATATTATGAGTTGAATATGACCCCATAAAAATCCCAGACAATCCATTAATATTTTATCATATCATCTCAACTTTTCCCTGTGCAGAGTATATTTTAGGTTTAAGGTGATTATATTATAGTTTTGCAAAATGAACAGAAAAATGTAGCAGTATAGAACCCTGTAAAACTACTGTAGGGTTTAGGTTAGACTAAGGGGATGATTTTCATGAATTGTGGTATAATGTGGTGTTTTATGCAAGCCTCATCGTTCTTTTTGTTTTCAGAGACTACTGTAACAAAAACTATAGAATAACAAAGTTTTTATAAATTCTTAAATAATTAAAGTAAGCATATTTGAAGGGAATGTGATAGAGATCAGATCAGATATTGACTAATTAGCAGGATTGGATGTCATTGATTTGATATAGGATATTGGGGGTCCAATCTAGTGCACTTTACATGAAACTGCTATTTTTTTTTATTTTTGCTGCTTATTTGTTAATAAATAATGTAAAGTACATTTATATTTGTGTTTATGTCACCTTTTTAACTATGTTTATCTCAGAGCTAAAGCCTTCATTATGGCAAGATATAAGGTTCATTCATTCAGCCAATGCGCTCAGCCCAGTTATGGCTCTCAAATTTGATCAGAAAAAAATTGGATCGGTGCATCTCTAGGATATAATAAATACGAGAACATCCTCTGCTCTGAACCCTATTTCTTTAATTCCTCAGCCTTCTAGGGAAAAAAATATTGCCCTTCTGTGGCCTTTTTGCCTCATAAACGGATAAAATGCACTGATTTCACAAAATGCAAGTCCAAAAGTGAAAATCACTTAGCAAAATCAAAGAGACTACTGTAAAAGCTGCTACGTGTGTATAAAGCAATACAGCAAGCAAGAAATGGATTAAGAGATTTAGAGCATTTATATTGGGACTATTTGCTGTATAAAAAAAGAGGTATTTGGCCTTATAGCTATAGATTTACAATTTACATTACTAACATGTTTATTTTACTGTCTTTTGAAATGTTCCATGCAGTAAAACTTGTATTTCTCAGTGGTTCTTTAATCGGCTAATATTTCCGTAAGGCTTTGCTGCCATAATTACCAGTTCAAATGTCAGTTATGTCAGAGATATTATATCAAGTTTTTTTCTTTCTATAGTGTGTGGGTTTCCTCTGGGTGCTTCTGTTTCCTCCCACAAATATGCATATAATGGTAACTGGTATGCTCTGAGGTGAAAGCGGCTGTCCGTATATTGTTGTTCTGTTGGACCAACAAATAATTTCGCGTGTAACTCTTCCCACACAAACCTTAAGTACCAGGATAATCTCCAGTTTTTTGTCTCTATACAGGATAAAACGAGTGCTAAAAATAGAATGG